TTTTTTTTTTTTTTTTTTTTTTTTTTCTCAGGCTTGCTCTGTCGTGCGTCGAGCGCCCCATTGATTGGCAGGCAGCTTGGGAGGTTAATGGTCATCCATTCTCAGCTTGCTGGTTTCTTCGTGCCCCATCGTTCACAGCTCCTCAAGGAGCACGGGGTGCACCCTCTTCGCATGCTGCGTCGTCGTGACCCCTATCTTGACCCCTATCCTGACCCCCATTCTGACCCCCATTCTGACCCCTATCCTGACCCCTATCCTGACCCCCAACCTGACCCCACCCTGGACCCCATCCTGACCCCCCTCAGGCTGCTGGTTTCTTCGCTTGTTCCACGGCCTGGTCTCCCCTCACTGGAGCATGGAGTGCACCCTCCTCGCCGGCTTTATCGTTCGGCACCCCATCCTGACCCCAATTCTGATCCCCATCCTGACCCCAATTCTGATCCCCATCCTGACCCCAATTCTGATCCCATTGTTCTGGTCTCCTCATGGAGCATAGAATGCACCCTCCTCGTCTGTGCCATCACCTTGACCCCCATCCTGACCCCCATCCTGACCCCCATCCTCTGACCCCCATCCTGACCCCCATCCTGACCCCCATCCGAGATCTTCCATTTCTTCGTCGGAAGCTGCAGTCAGTCCAGTAATCAGGGATCGTCGAGAGCACCTGCAGTGCTTCCTGCCGTAGGCAACTGCAGGTCGTTCAAGCTCTGACCACCGTCTTTCATACGTCAAGCTGTAATCACCATCACTCACCCCTTTGATCACCCTTCCAGCTCACCCCTTTGGTCACCCCTTTGATCACCCCTTTGATCACCCTTCCAGCTCACCCCTTTGGTCACCCCTTTGATCACCCTTCCAGCTCACCCTTCCAGTTCCAGCTCACCCCTGTGATCACTCTTCCAGCTCATCCTTCCAGCTCACCCCTTTGATCACCCTTCCAATTCCAGCTCGCCCCTGTGATCACCCTTCCAGCTCACCCCTTTGATCACCCTTCCAGCTCACCTTTGCAGCTCACCCCTTTGATCAGCCCTTTGATCACCCTTCCAGCTCACCCTTCCAGCTCTGTCAATCTTCTAGCTCACGGCGCTAGCGAGGCCCGTGTCACCTGTGATCACCATCGCGCACCCTCTAAGGTGCCCCACGTGGGCGCGGGTTCGAGTCCCTCCGGTCTTAGCCGCCAGGAACCGGGGACGCTGCTTGGCATCACGGAGTAGCTCCTTCTGGCGTCTGCCACGAATTGCTTCATTTCCGTCTTCTCTTGTGCCTACTGCCCATTTTGTTTGAATACTACCTTCGCCCCTAACTCCTCTCTTTCACCTCGAATCACCTGTCCTTTTCCTCCCTTCCCGCGGCCCGTGCGCATCTCCCTTTCAATTTTCAAATGAATCAGGCCGCAATACTCGTGACATTCCTTCCTTCAGAAACGCTGTGTCCGCTGCCCAAGTATGCACCTCGTGCCTACAACCTTGGATATAGATAGACGCGAGGTGCTATCTATATCCGTGTTGGCACGAGGTGGGTCGGGACAGACGCGAGGCACAGTGGGTCGGGCATGGTGGGAACTTGATTGGGTGACGCTATCCCGGTCCTGTTGGCTTTCCCTTTCACATTTTCGTCTCCCTTCTCCCTTCTCCCTCTCACTAGGGACTTCCTCCCATACAATCTCTTCTCTCTCTCTCTCTCTCCCATCTCCTTTCCTCTGTTCTCCCACCCACCCAAGACCCCATCCTCTCTCTCTCTCTCTCTCTCTCTCTCTCTCTCTCTCTCTCTCTCTCTCTCTCTCTCTCTCTCTCTCTCTGCTTTCTTCTCCTTCCTCGACTCTGAACATGGAGTCTTCCTCCCTTTCTCCTCTGGATCGGTCTCGCCTGAGTCGCCTTCTTTGCCCCAGATGCGTGGTAACTGCAGTCTGCAGTTCATTCAAGCTCACGGTTGCAGCGGACAGTTCATTCAAGCTCACGGCTGCAGCTGCAGTCTGCAGTTCATTCAAGCTCACGGCTGCAGCTGCAGTCTGCAGTTCATTCAAGCTCACGTCTGCAGCTGCAGTCT